TCTAGCCCTGCTCGCCAGAAAGACCCCCCCCTTCACTACAACCCATGTCTAAGCAAAAAAAGCTCGTCGAGGAGCGAGGGGAAGAAGGGAGTTTGTTGTTGTTGTTGTTTCTCACATTAGCTCTATAGTCCACAAAANAAACAAAAATAACAAAAAAAATAAAGGAGGACGCTTCCCACACCCGCCGAAAGAAAAAATGAAAGGGTAACGTAACGTACCAGCACCAGGCACTGCGCACCAGGGCATGGGAGTAACGGAGCAAACAGGGCAAAGAGGCGGCAGATGGTGTGCATGTCTCGGTGTAATTGGATAATAAGTGAATTTTGAAAATTGTTGATACAGGACTGGGCCCTCTATTGTGCAGGTTGAATAGTGCAGGTGAAATATCTGGACACAGACAGCGCCCTCAATAGTGCAGAACCTGCACTATTGAGGGCAGTCCCACCATAGTGCAGGTTGGGCACCGCGGTGCCCCGCAATAGTGCAGGTTGGACAAACACACAAACGATAGTGAGAACGATGGAGTTGGAAGGAAGGAGGATGGCGGTGAAACTCCACACGAGCTGGAGTGCAAGGTAGCAGCCTTCATCGACACGTACGTGAAAATCTGCTGTAGCTACCGTTTCTGTCTTTAATCCGGAGATAGCTTAGCCTCCCCCAAGCCGCCCCCTCATGGCGTCCCAGTTAGTGATATTTAGACTAGTCTAGAAGTGTTTTATTTTTTCAATCGCACTGACTGACGTATTTTCATTGGTCAGCCGGTTAGCGAGGTCGATGCTAGTAAAAAAAACACACGGACAAGACAGCGGACAGACGCAAGACAGAAACCAGGGTGCACGTGCTGCTGCAGACCCGAAAGCTCACGCAGGGACGCAACAAGCCTTGTGCGGACGGTGAACTGTGCCGCCATCAACAAGCAGAACGCCGCAAGCCCCTCATGGCCCCGTCTGCAAGGGAGGGTGTGGCGGGCGGCTCCACAGCAATTGATTGCGGCAGCATGTTTGAGGACGACGAAAAGCACCGCATCTGCAGCGAGTGCGTCGCCAAGGCTGGCAAGCGCAAAGCGACACCAGCTGAGGGTGCTGGGGCGGGACCATCCATCTAAACGCACGCCCGAAGAAAACAAAGGCGGGGAGTAAGAAGGGACCTGGTTCTTGTGCACGGCCGGACAACAACACGAAGCTTGAGATTCTCAAGTTGATGGATGCGCCAGGCAGACATGAGATAATTTTTCGCGAGGTAGTGAGGGCGGGGTTACATAGTCTACAACTAGCTGTCGCAGTTAATGGTTGTTTGTTTTCTTGTAGTGCGGTTCCTGGCGTGTTTTTTTTTTATCTTGCAACATCGAACGAGGGCGGCGAGGACTGAGATATAGCTTCGCCCAGCAAGTATTTATTAATGTTGAAGGATTATGGTTCATGCGACAGTTCACGGTGTGCAGTAGTACGAGTGCTGAGACAGGAAAAAAGTAACGATTCAACTTGCAAGTAATTTTTTCTACATCTCTGCGTGTGCGACAGGGGGGAACCACACGGGTCGCGGGACAGCCTGCCCACACCCACGCTAGAACAGGGCCCAGCACTACTGTATTCGATCAGTTTCGTACTCTGTTAGCCCCACGACGCATGAGCGCTACACCATGAAATCAAGCATCCCCTCAATAGTGCCGGACCTGCACTATAAAGGTATGATATACTCAAAGCCTCAATAGCGCCGAACCTGCACTAAAATATATATTCGCCTGATTGAGAGCGTAGCATCTGATTGAGAGCGAGATTGCGCGATACGCTGTAGCCGGACTACCACTGAGAGGTGGAGCTTGCTGTGTAGCTTGAATTGAAGGGCTAGCCCGTAGCTTCAAGCCGCTACCCTGGTCATCCTGTGGGAGTCTCTCGTTGTGGAGCTACAGCGGGGAGCAGAAGCTACAGCAGAGCCCACCGCCCGACGCGATACCGCCCTGAAACAGTTTGAGCAGAAATAGCCAATCTGGGCAAATCTAGCAACTTGTCTAGCTCCTCGCTGCAGCATCCGATGACGATGACACGCATATGCTCGCGAAGCTGCTGATGAGACCTTCAATTTGCACCGCTTCTTGGAATAGCCCGTCCCCTACTTGCCAAGAAATGGCAAGAGGCGTCTGGACCCGAAATTTCAATTTTTTTGGCTCTCGCTCTCAATCAGATACTTCGCTCTCAATCAGGCGAATATGTTAACTATTGACGCACTATTCTGAATCGTGCAGGTGCCCGCTATAGTGCAGGTAAAATTTCTGGACACACCCCTGCACTATAAGGGCCCAGTACTGTATCTCGGGATACTTATTTGTGATACAGCAGATACTTTCAACCGGCTTGATGGTGGCAAGATGGTAAAACCGTCGTTGCAATCGGGTGTGTCAGTGACTATGACGCCGTCGCATGTATTCGTCAATTTGTAGTCTATATCCTTCGTCCCAGCGTATTTGGGTTTTCACCCATGTCTCGGTGAAACCATGCTGAAGCTGTACAGTTGAGGCCCGCACTTAACAACCTCCTATTTTGAGCGAGGCTCAGTTCTTATTGGCTGCCCCAACTCGAGCACGTGTTCTTATTGGCCATGTTCTTTTTTCGCCGTCCCATTTTTCTCCAGCGAAATGTTCTTGTTCTTATTTCAACACCAACTGGCCCTGTTGGCGTACGTTGTATGACGACGTACTTTGTTGGCGGCTGTCAACTGCACTCGGCGGAGTGTTTATAGTGTTTAGCATGAGGAACAATGCTGTTGTTTGGTACAAGAACACACCAAGGCATGCAGCAGCAACTGTCAACCATCTTGGTCCACAAGGGTGACGTTGGTCCTGCGTACCCTCCCCGATCTACTAACGCTCTCAAGCAAAACCCAGGAGCCTACCGCCGCATCCAGATCTCCGGTGTACTTGTCTAAGGGCAGCTTCATCTTGCGCGTACTCTGGTCTAGCTCCAGCTGCACACAGTAGTCGTACAGGTGGCGAGTGTCCTGCTGAGATTGCTGAATGATCAACCCTCCAAACCACCCCATCCCCAGCCTAACGAGCACTCCACGTCGCAAAAGCAATTTGTCAAGAGCAACGGGTTTAACTTCTTGAATGCGAAAGCCTGTCGGGATCTCCATTCCTTGTGTCTCGTCCTCCGGGTCTTGTGGGTCCATGCTGTCGTCGTCGTCGAGAAGAGCTAGCTCATCGGTCTGGGTTTGAGACGTGCCTGCGAACGGGGCACCGTGAAACACCACAAGAAGTACGGTGTCACGGCCGAAACTCAACATGAACCCATCATATTTGCTCGTGGTCGTGAACGCGGAAACAGCACATCAGCAATATCCAAGCAAATATCAACATGGACATCGTCATCAACAAGGAAATGACAAAGATT